TTTATTTTACTTGGGACAACAATATAACAATAAGAGGTGCTTTATTTCTTTAGAAATTAGCCACTAATGTTGTAAACTAAGGAAAAATATCACAATCTCGTTATATTTACTTAATAGTAGGAGATACAAGGATTTATTTGCTGTTTATGCATCAGTATGACCATATGATACTCTTATACCGTGAAGTCCTACTTGGAAAAGGTCTTTCACAGCTCACACGCATGCTTCCTTTTGACTGCACTTGGTTTTTAAACTGTAATCATTATTAACAGTTAATGCTGCTTCCAGTCTTTGAGTTTATTCACTGAATAAAAAATAAGGTGAGATAAAATATGCTTTATTTAACCCAAAAGCAGGGAAATTATTGTGTTATAAATACCAAATTATTAAAGCCCTTTATATTGAGAAACCGTAGAATTCCTCCACCTTTCTTCTTGCCTCTCAGATTAATGTCTCTGTCCACTCAAAAAATTGGTCACACCATAGTCCAGGAAGTGTGAGTGCAGTGCCTTGTCCATGATTTACATCAAACCGCAATGCGGATTCTGTTCCCCAGTTTTGTCCATATCATGGATCTCTGATAGCTGCTTAGTTCTCCAGTTAGCTTCAGCTCTGAAACCATGTTGTGTTCACTTCAAAGCAAACAGGATATGCACTGCCAGAAGGATGAGCTGGCAAAGAGTCTTGACTGCCAAGAGTGTGACAAAAAGAACCAGAAAAACAGGAAGCTTAAGAACACATGTGCTGGCAGCTGTTGCAGCAGTCTACCACGCAGCACTGGATTATTTCAAGAACAGAATCAAAATATCTACATACAAGATGTTTCAAATAAAGTTAGCATTTGTGCATGGCTGCTGTACCCTCTACAATATGCCTTGTGCAATTTAATTGATGAAATCATATATCAAAGTCCCTTTTGATAACAAGTAAGTTATTGCTCTGTGCATATGAATACAATGTGGTAATAGATACAGAAAAGAAGGACTTTGAAGAGATCGTACAGAAAATTACATCTGTTCTTTCTTCCTTAAACCCCACAGCTGTTATTCCCATGATATACACTGATCTTAATTTGAGTATTTTTAAGTGAGAAAAATACATCATATTGTATATGCGTTATATATGAGGAAATTAAATCCTAACTCACTAAATGTAGAATTATTTGCTTCTGAAATATCATTTCTATCAACTCTTAGTTTAAAGGCTCAATTTAGAAAAGAAACAAATACTGAAAAAGATTTTCGAAAGCAAAGAAACAGCATTTTAACATCTGTGATTCTTTTTTTTTTTTTGTCTTTTTTCATCTTCTAAGTGTAATTTTCTTATAGTAAGCTTTTTTTTTGCTGTTGTTTATTTGTTAGTTTGTTTTTAACATTAGCACAACTGGAGCAGGTAAGAAAGTCGTTGTTGGTTTGACTCATTTGATCAGGGACACAGTAGCAGTGTTTCATCATGTTGTTGATCTGTAATATACAACACACAACACCACAGTCAGGCAAAATCAAATGCAGACAACAGTCAAACATGTAGATGCAATAAAAGTTTGCCAACGTACCGTTTTAAACCATCATGAAGAAATTTTATTAAAAGTACGATGGTTCCTGCATTTGCAATAATTAAAACTACAGCCAGAACAAACAGCACCGTTTCCTCCTGACTTGTCTTTCTTCCTGCTAGTTGTGGATCTAGAAAACAAAGGATTGTTTTTGAAAACAGTACATACAGTAATGAGTTCTCATCCTGCATGCTGTAACCTCTACTTTCTGTAACACATGCATGGCTTGTATTGTATGTGCCCCAACCCCCCCTGCATCATTTTCCTGAATAAATATCTTTATTACATTTCTATAGTTTTTTCTATAACTTTTCCTGTCAGTGCAAATCATTGTGGAGGTTATCACAACCATAATGAAGTCTAGACATTTTTAACTTAAATAATTCCACAATTTACTGTAAATTTATGACTCTGAACGTTTTAGACAAATAAAAATAAAATTTATTGAAACACTCTCTGAATGCGGCTCCTCAAATCTGTTTTACCTTTTGGTGGTCCAAACATTGGAGGTTTGAGTGAGACATCACTGCTGTCTCCATCAGAGGTTCGATCCACACTCAAAACAAAGTTTTCTAAGGATGAAAATCTGAATTAATGTTTGTTCATCTGCAATATAAATACAGTCCAGTCGTAAAGAGATACAGGAGTCAACTTACCATTTGTCTCGAGCCTCCATCTCTTCAGGCTGTCGTCGTAGTCGGCAGCCACGTTACACCTGTAGCTTCCAGAGTCTTCAGCTGTGACTCTGGACAGATGAAGTCTGATTCGTCCTCCTCTCAGAGCGTCTCTGTCAGTCTGAACTCGTCCTGCAAACTGCTCATGCTGAGACTCAGAGTCCTCCACTCCTCTGATCATTTTAAACAAAATCTTAGTGACGTCTGAGTGGAAAACACACATCATGTCAGCCAGAGACACGTCAGCTTGGAGCTGACTGTTCAATCTGATGGTGATGTTGTCGTCCTCCTTGGCTTCAAAGACAGTCGCAGTCCTTTTCAAAACTAACGTCCCTGTTGAGAAGACACCACCTCATTATTGTGTGTTCATTTATCCTTTTTATTTATTTATTTATTTGAATTTACCAAAAGATAACTGTGTCTAAATGTGGACACTCACAGACAGAGGACGCCAGGCCGAGAAACAGAAGGATCCTGATCATCTTCTCTCTGTGAGAATGAATCAGAGGAAGAACGTTTTAATAAATATCTTTTTTTTAAAAAAGACAATAAAAATAAAAGTGAAATATTTCACATTTTTCACCAGCTTAAAAACCACTGAGTGATTTCCCCACACAGAGTGTACACAGACACAGTTTCTGTGCAGCTCACCAGCAAATGAATTAATGTACGTCTATGATCCAAACCATGATCATAATTCTGCGCATGTTTCAGCTACGAGATTTAAAATGGTCTGTTGACATCAGAGTGAAGTGTGTTTTCAGTATTACTCCAATAACATGTTTAGATGTTTTTAGGCTTAGTTTTCTACCTGTTCTTGTGTTTCTCCGTCTCTGGCAGCTGTCTCTACGAATGTGGAAGAGCATGTAAAGTTTTCCTGTTGACTTTACTGGGTGCATTACACTCACTAACCTGTGAAATTTAAAAAGAAAAAAAAATCAGTGTTATTGATTTTCATTTCATCAGACCTCACAGATAACAAAACTGAACATTAGGCAACGACTATCGGTGCTCACCAGAAAATTAAATGAAGTAAATTCAGAAGGCCTCAAAGGGACATCAAGGTCACGTGCTCACTGTCGGTTTAAATCTCCTTCCTGAAATTTCACAAAAATATATGTAATGAACTTTTAGACAGATTCAGATTTATTTTTGATTTATTTTGTTAAAATTTTTTCTAACAGTTTGTTAAATGGTTGATATAGTTTTCTATATGCAGGGGTGCACATATCCCCAGGTGCTCATTCGCTGTCAAAATAAAAGACGTGCACCAGATAAGAAGTTGCAACGCGTGTTTGCATACATAAGATTTTCTGGAGGAGGACACACATTTGTTTAGAACTC